TTTATATCTCGATCAATCTTCATTTAAATATTTTAAATTTTTCACGCTGTAGATTACGAACCAAAAGATTATGTAACGATTCGTTTCCTTATAGGATGATTTTTTCATAGTATTTTTCACTATTTGACTATCAGATACATTTAAAAATCTTCGAACAATGAGACTATCTATAAATCATATGTGACAACATATGACAGCGACAAGGAACAAAATTTGAGATAAAATAATTGAGCATGAACGAAGTAAAATGAAATAATTATGATAATATTGCACGCAAGGTTATTTAGAATAATTATCCCGATTATTACATGCAACAATTATTCAGCATATTCTTATACCTTACAAAATCTGCACCTCTTCGATTCCAAAAATTGAATTTGCGACTAATTAATTATTTACTATGGGATATGTTACACCAACGGACGCGTTAGTATCATTTTAATTCATTTTAATTAAAATAATTTCTGCACAAGATTTTCTCTTGTGTAACTCCAAGGTTTACAACCGAATTGAGTTTATTCTGTTTATTGCATTAGAACTGGACCTAGTTACCATTCAAAATTTATTTATTTATAAAATTCGACCCGAAAACCGTTTTTACATTAGGGAGGATTTCCTAATTTGAATCTATGCTTATTTTGTAATCACCGTGTATCTTGAGAAAGAAAAATTTAGGTTTTTAAGTATTAGTTCATAGTAACTTAGTACCTTGACCTATTATAAAAAATATTTGCAATGTTAATGGTGTTAATTAATTATGACATTGCTTTTTGCAGTACTCTACACATACAGGGTGCCCAAAAATGTCTCGATTACGGGAATGGGGGGTAGCTGAGGTCATTCTAAATAACTTTTTCCTTAGCGAAAGTGTAATCTGTGGCTTTGTTTACGAGTTATTAACGAAAAACACTGATCAATGAGAGGCGAGGGCGCGAATTACAACGCTGTCGATCGATTGAGTGCAACGTGCTTCAACCGTGGAGCGTGGTAGAAGAAGAGGGGCTTCGTATTGCGTTTGAATCAATGAACAAGTTACGGAGTGTGAACTTTGAACACGTCGCATTAAAAAATCGGCTCTAAACTAAATGGGTGAGTTTCTTATTGATAATATTCTTCATATTTCTCTAACAAACATATCCCTTACATCCTTAAACGCGATTATTATTTATTAAATTAGCTTTGCGAATAGTTCGTTGAATTGTGTTCGGACGCCGAATTATTTAAATTAAAATGTCATTTACGTACTTTGTTAATCGTCACTGTACATCTTGCTTAAAAATTTCATATGGTACACACGAGGTGTCATGCACACCAGAAAATTAAAACAGCCGTTACGGTTAAATTACTTATTATTTCGGGTTCGGAAAATTAGTAAATATTCTTCAGACATTCTGAAATAAGGATGAACAGCGTTTTTCTTAAAATTATCATTGTCACGTGGTAACAAAAATATCGAAAGTTCATGCTCCGTGACTTGTTCATTGATTCGAACGCGGTACAGAGTTCCCTTCAACTGCCGACCTCAGCGGTAGGAGCACGTGGCGCTCGATCGATCGACTATGTCGTGATTCGCGCCATCACCTCTCATTGGTCAGTGTTTTTCATTAATACCTCATAAACAAACCCGCAGATTGCATTTTCGCAAAGGAAAAAGTTACTTAGAATGACCTCAGCTACCCCACATTTCCGTAATGCGAAACATTTTTGGGACAACCTGTATAATAATACAATTTAAACTGCAGCACGGGCATTTACTGCCTGAACACAAATCCGAGTAGTCCTTTCGCTAAAATACTGCAGGGAAAAATGATATTTATCATCTCGGAGATATGTTCAGTAGCTAAATATTGAAAACATTAAAACTCATGTTAAATTATTCACAACATATTGGAAGCCTTATTTCCTTATTACGATGAATATTTGTTCTTTAACAAAGCATTATATTATATGCTGATAGCGCATTAAGTATACAATATATTCGACACCCTTTTGAAGGAGAAACCTCGGGTTTGTTAGTACCACACTGTTGAACTGTAACAAACATTGAATGCAAATTCAATTCTTTAATCTTATCTTACAATTAGGATTAGTAACCACTTAAAAAATTTAGTAGACAGTTCACAATGATATCCCGTAAATAAAACCGCATGTGTGCGGTTATGTTGCTATGTACATGCTATGTAAATATCTAATACGTATGGAACAGATAGCGCCACAACATAAATTATATACTTCATAAATTATGCAATAGGTTTATATATAACCATTGACGAGAAGCAAAGGTCGCAGAACTTGTGTTGGAAGGTGCGAACCCAATTTCTATCAACATGGCGAGCTATCGTGTATATCTTGTTCTAGTACTAGTCGGTCTTTCATTTGGATGTAAGTTCCCACAAAAGTGTAACTATTATTTAACTCTTTGGCGATATTCATAATTTTCTACGACGTTTAATAATATTGTAGTGGTTACTTTATAATGCACATTTGTATGCCTTAAATGCAAATCCATTTACTACATTTATTCTAAATCGTAGAAAATGTTATCTGTTCACGAGAATATCAGCAAAATAATTTGAAGTAGGTATAGTAGTGTTAGAGTAACTTAATTGAGATTTACTAAATGCACTGCAATACTTATATTTTGCTTCTAAGAAATAAAATGTTATATTTAAAAAGGTGGCAAAAATTGCAAGATGAAATTTTATTCAATTAGAACACGACTGCTAATATTTTTTGCAGGTCTATACAGGAAGTATAATTTGAAACAATTATATAAACAGTCTTTCATTTGGCAACAGCCCTAAGTAACAAATACTGACAGGAAGTTCTGCAAATTTGAACTGTCACGCGGTATCCTAATTCAAACTCCCTGATAGACAAAATAATGTTTTCACAGTTAAATTGCCACTTTATCAATTGTTTATATTTTTTTATATCTTGCAATAATATTTCAAGTAACTTATAGTAGTTACTATCTACTATCTTACTATAGTAGTTAAGTATCGAACTATCAGTCGATAAATTCGTTTCAAGATCATTTTATAAATAGTTAAAAGTTTGTAATGAATAATAGGAGACTCTACGCGTGTTTTCCGGTTTGATAAGATAATCATGTAAATATGTTTATATTAAAATATATTTTTAAGAGATATTAAAAGAATTTTCATTTTTCGCAGATGTTGCTGAGGGTTTTGTGAGCACGGATTCCCTCTTCTTCCGTTATTATAAGTGATTATTAGCTATACGTCAATTACACTTAAATACTGTTGGTAATTTTTAACTTGAACAAATACTTGCTATCTTTTCAGTGGTTCGTCATTTAAAGATTTTAACATCAATAAAACAGCCAATTTGATTCCTGAATTGAATTCCACTGAGGAGACAGTGTTTCACATTCATGGCTACTTAGAGAACGTGGACGATGAAAGTGTCACAACAATAGTACAAGGTAAGTCATGAAATGCCCTAGTAGCCCCTAGTAGTCCATGCTACGGCCTTGCTAGGATTGTTCCTGTGCTCTTCCTAAGTCTATATGTGTTAATTCTATGCCTACGCTAATGTTCGACGGAGTCGGTCAAGCATATGACGCGGTTCCTTTGAATAGAACTTCCGGAATGACAACTCATAATACATTAACAGAACTTTTTTAATTTAACGTTTTAAAATTGAATTTTTTTAGTATATTGTTAGTGGTTTTGTGATTCAAATGAAACCAAACGTGGTATCGTTTGAACAGATATTCCTGATTATATAAAATAAAATTAATCACGATGTAATTAAATAAATATGTTCCAAATCATGTCGTGTTTGGTCTCATTTTAATTGGAAGAATCAGACCAGTATGTTAAACAAATTTTCATGCATACAAAATTAGAAATTAAAAAGTTAAGGCATTGTTTTTATTCTAGTATTTTTGTGCATTTGTATTAATGTACACCGATATGGCTGCTCCGATTTTTCTTCTCTCCCTCTCCCTCTTTCTTTCTCTCAAGATGTCGGCAACTACAAGGGCGAGGCGCGAGGCTCGAAGAATCGTATCTGGATGGCCTAAGTTGTCTATTTCCGATTGCAAGCTGCGCGACTATTAGGGAGAATTTACTTTAGATTTTACACTAAAACTTTCNACGTGGACGATGAAAGTGTCACAACAATAGTACAAGGTAAGTCATGAAATGCCCTAGTAGCCCCTAGTAGTCCATGCTACGGCCTTGCTAGGATTGTTCCTGTGCTCTTCCTAAGTCTATATGTGTTAATTCTATGCCTACGCTAATGTTCGACGGAGTCGGTCAAGCATATGACGCGGTTCCTTTGAATAGAACTTCCGGAATGACAACTCATAATACATTAACAGAACTTTTTTAATTTAACGTTTTAAAATTGAATTTTTTTAGTATATTGTTAGTGGTTTTGTGATTCAAATGAAACCAAACGTGGTATCGTTTGAACAGATATTCCTGATTATATAAAATAAAATTAATCACGATGTAATTAAATAAATATGTTCCAAATCATGTCGTGTTTGGTCTCATTTTAATTGGAAGAATCAGACCAGTATGTTAAACAAATTTTCATGCATACAAAATTAGAAATTAAAAAGTTAAGGCATTGTTTTTATTCTAGTATTTTTGTGCATTTGTATTAATGTACACCGATATGGCTGCTCCGATTTTTCTTCTCTCCCTCTCCCTCTTTCTTTCTCTCAAGATGTCGGCAACTACAAGGGCGAGGCGCGAGGCTCGAAGAATCGTATCTGGATGGCCTAAGTTGTCTATTTCCGATTGCAAGCTGCGCGACTATTAGGGAGAATTTACTTTAGATTTTACACTAAAACTTTCATTGCCGGAAAAATGATTTGTTTCAGAATTTTTGTTTGACAATTATTGAAATCGTAAAGATACTTTAATTGAACATTATTCAATAAATTCCGTCTCACTGTCACTTTTATAATACAACACACGCGCGTCAATTCTAATCTTAGATAGTTGTATCGTTGAAAATCATTGAGGTACTATTGAAACGTGTATGTTCCTTTTTCTACTGAAAGATGACTTGAAAGAACAAAAGATCAGTACATATCTTTCACTTTTCCAGAAATGAAGCTTTTGGAATATGATTCAATTCTCTGTGGACTATATTTTCAACAAACTGTATCTTCTTGCTACGAAACATGTTTCTGTCATTATCTCAGCTCATTTTAAATGCGTTTGTAATATTTGTTGCAGCTTATCTCAATTATACGAAGAAGAACATAATCGCAATCGACTACAGACACATCGCAGACAACGAAAATTACGTCGCCGACGTGGAGCGTGTTAATGATGTTGGTAGTGCTATTGCCAATGCTCTGAATACACTGGTAGCGAAGGGCTTGAACCCCAATAATATTCACATAATTGGACATGCCTTAGGTGCCCAAGTTGCTGCATACGTAGGGTCGCATTCAAACTTCAGTGTTTTCAGAATAACTGGTATGTTCTGATGAATTCGTAACACGTTGATACGAATGCTTGTAGTTTTCAGTGTTACCTTCAATCCGTCAAGATTTATGATTTAGTGTTTTGTTAGCACAAGTTACATTTTTGTTAAGATTGGTTGCTTCAGGACTGTACTTCATCTTGAATGTGTTGAAATATTTGCTAACAGGTTTGGATCCTGTTGGTCCTCTGTACTACACTGGGAGGTACTTACAATCCGGCGATGCTACATTTGTCGACATCATACATACTGATGCAGGTGTCGTCGGTCAAGTTTATAACAGTGGCGATGTGGATTTCCTCCCTAACGGAGGACACAGACCACAGCCTGGCTGTTCTGTCCTGCCTACCTTTCAGGACCCTGAGAGTTCGTAAATTTGGTTAACAGCACTCTTACTCTTGTTATATCGTATTGCGCATAGTAGTGAAGGTAGATGTATGCTACGAAAGTGGGAATTTGTACTAATGGAATTCGATATCTGATGTTTCACTTTATATATCTGAACTTCACTCCAAAGTCCCACGTCCTAGAATTGCTGGAGACAGAAGTAGATGTTTAACAAAGTTACTGTCGTGTTACCTATATTATATCTATTATATCTTTCGAACTTAATTAGAATCTGTTAAAGCCATGAATGTTAAAAAAGTAATTCATGCCGTACTATTTAACTTCTCCATTTTAATTTAATTAAACAAAACGTTTATATTTCATGCAATTTTTGAGATTAATTAAAGTCAAAATGTTACTTGCGCAAAAAGGACGATGTTTAAGTGCGTTCTACTGTACTGGCAGATTTATTTAAATCGTTTGTTTCGATAAGTTTTCAAACTGTTAGCAGCATCAAAAAATGGCGTCGATCGTAATTAACGATTTGTTTAATGATTTTATTATTGTTCACTGTAGCAATGTGCAGTCACCATAGAGCCTGGCGGTACTATGCAGAATCGATCGGTAATCCTCATGGATTCTTGGGTGACGCATGCCTCAATGTTGGTCTGCTAGTATGTGACCAGTCAAATAAAGTCCCTATGGGATATGCTACGCCAGCTAATGCGTTAGTAGAAAGTTATTTGTTTCTAATTGAATAGATTGAATCATCGGTACCTGGTGACATAACCGATCAGTAATCAAATCCTTATTATAGTTTCAGTATTTTAAACGTTCGCACGTTTTCAACTGTTTGAACAATGGAATAGAAATAACATTTATTACCAAAATATTCAGGAAATGTCAGTAACAACGGTTTCTTTGTTATTTCAGTATAGAATATTGATCGTAGACTCTAAATTTCTCAAGGAACCAGACGATTCTGAAATGTTGGCTTTTAAGCGTCTTAGTTATAAATAGCGATTATAAATTAAGACTACTTTTTATAAATGATAGATTTTTTTTTCGAACGCCATTATATTTTGATTGCTCGTAACGGATGATTTTTCTTTACAGCAGGGGCAGGTATTACCTCTACACAAATTCTCACTCCCCGTTCGCCCTAGGATCGGCGGGACTAGCACAATTCCTACCTCAATAAGAGTATACTGAATTTTGTAAAAGGTGTGTTTACTTTACAACTTGTGTTTCAATCAATAAAGTGAAGAGCTAACCTAAAGGTACTTGACCCGTTAAAATACTGTAGAAATGCGGTAGTATACCTTTCGTCACACTTTTAAATTTTCTGATAATACACGTTACCTTAACGATTTATTCCAAATACGAATGTTACGACTAAAAAAAAACGACTAAATAATTAAAGTGTGTTGTGTAACAATGAACGACTGCGATAATAGAGAAGCTTTTGTTGATAAAACTATAATTCTACAACGTTGAGTAACATATAAAGGTGAGATAATATCTTAAAATATATAATAGATGTTGTTACACAGTTCAGATATGTAATATGAAATGACATTTGGAACACACTCATCTATCATATTTATGTAAATATGAAATATACATCTGCTTAACTGCTTCGTTTCCATGGATATGCTACGCCGCGACACCGATACTGCACGTATCGACGAGATACCTCGCGACGCAATACTGTTCGTGCGGTGCTGCAGAGGAGTGAACACGTGCTTCGGTTTTTGCTCCGTCTGTGTGACTGTAGCTTGTTTCTATGTTATGTCAATGAAGCCAAACTTTTTCGAATTAAACCTCTTTAAAGCGTGGTTACTCGTCCGTGACACTGCTTGAATGGTATTGCGTCGCTGGATAACACGTCCGTGGAATCGCACAAGCGGCAATTACGTCGTGAGATATCTCGTTTGTAACCTTATGCGAACAGTATCGGCGTTGCGACGTAAAACGTCAGAGAGGGCGGAGCTGTTAAGGAAGAAAATTTAACCGACCGTTCCATTTTCAACAAAATTAATTTCTAAAAAAAGTTTTTAATATTTTTTAGAACTTACAATGATTTCTTTAAACAGGCGAGATGTGTAACTTTACAACAAAAAAACAAAAACAAAACAGAACCGTAAAATAATAAGCCAATGTCAAATAATAAACTGTTAAAGTTGGGATCATAACCTTGCCAACCTAATATTTACCTTCCTAGCAGTGATCAGTCTCGCACTGGCCAGTAAGTGTTTCACGAGTTTTCATTACATTTCAAGGGCACGATGTAACAGCGTTTTAACCCTTCCTATTTCATTTGCCCCTTGCGTTAATCCGAAACGCGTCCCGCGAGTTAATTTACTCATAATTAAACATCGATTCTGTGTGTAAAATAAGAATGTTTTACATCAATCGTGTGAAATGAAAACAAAGTGGAAAGACGAAGGCGAAAACTCTTTCTTTAATCGTTTGTATAGACTGAAAGCAACGTATTGATACTCATAAATCCTTTTAATCTTCTGCAGCAGCCATTGTACTGCTGCTAAGCCCTCGTTATAAAATAGAAAATAGTTGTTCGTGCAGATTCCGCTATCTAAAGTTCATAATGGGGTATCGTACGAGCCTGGACACTACACATTTGCACACCAGGTCCACACGGAATTTTAGTCATTTGCTTCAAGTTTTCCGAGACCATTTGGCGCCCGTTTGACCGATGTAAACCACGCCTAAAGGAGATTACAACTTTCCTTATTATGATTTTTTGTGATTTGATGAATATTTGAAGAATACTATCTGCTTTCCAATTCTTCTCTCTCATTTTCTTCCCTTTCCTTCTAGTTTTTAAGAGTCCTCCTTCTGGCGGAAAACTGGAGAGTGGCGAGGAGAGTCTGACGAGATTCCTCCAGGCGTACGGGACGCGAGGCAGTTCCGAAAATAAACGGCGTTATTGAGAGGAAAATGCGGTGATAGTTTTTGTTATTTACCTTATAGCCCTTTTATTTTACTTCTTATTACTTTAAATTTCATATATTCGATTTCGTTACAAAAGCATTAAACACGCAATCGTAAAAATTGTACTATTATCATGTAATTACGCGAATCAGCGAAAGGAGGGAAAGCAAATAAAGCTCTTGTTCCCGAAAGTATCTTTAAACAACGTTTATGAAGTGGATTGTTACGCGAAAATCACGGTTCGTATGTGTACTCTACCGTAAATGATGAGATCAAATTTTAATCAATATTATTTACAAATATTATTTAAAATTGTTTATAATCTTTTTATACCTAATATTTTCATGCCACTAGTTCTAACAATACTTTTGTATCAATTTCTAACAAAGACATTAACATCAGTAATTTCACGCTTCTAATCCTTGAGTTGAATCAGGTTACATACAGTAACGAAAGGTAAGTTATGAAAACGTTAGTTATTTTGATGTTTAAATGTTATGAGTTATTAAAATTGTTAAAACTAGTAATTCTTTTATCCGATTTCAAAGTTTTACGCATAACATATAATTTACGGCATGTTAATATCTTTCGTATTGCACGAGTAACAATTTGAAAAAGGAAAGTTACCAATAAACTTAGCATCAAATCATTTCGTAATCAGGGCATCGATTACTACAAGCTTATAAAATATGATCAAACCGATTTCGTACGTGTAAAATGTGATTCTTCATTCTTTATTTGATTGTTAATGATTTTCATAGATAGGAAACTGTGATCATGACTAATAAAACGAATCCACATCTTTCTTTGCATACCTTACTACACTGCTAATGAAATTCAATGATAAGACACTGTAGTAACAGTTAATAAATCACGCTCGTATTTTCCGTTGCGTTCTCTGCTTGTTTGCTAATGCGAATCATAAAGAAGTGGAGACATTTACACTCGGGGCTCAAAAATCAATGGTATATGCCGATTATGTGTAATATAATACTAATAATATTTACTACAGCTGATTTGGCGTCGATAGACATTTCTGAGGCTTTTTAAAGTAACTTTCCTTAGCGCAAATGTTATCCGCGACTTTGTTTACGAATTAGTGACAAAAAACACTGACCAATGAGAGACGAGGTCGGCTGGCACGCAATAGTCGAGCCAATTAACGGAACTGAATTTAATTCGCTCGTTGGCTCCGTATTTTAGATGTTTTATTTAAATAAATAAATAATTAAATGGATTTACATTAAAAAGTTGATATGTCTTATACAATAAATATTAAGTTAATTATGTCTGAAGCTGGCTCCACGGACCTAAAGACTAATCAAAGTCATGACGACTTTGATCAATTTCGCTGCGGGTGACGTGTAGGAAAAGAACTCTGGGAGTCCGTACACCCGCGCCTACGTGTACGTCAGTATGGCAACAAAATTCGAGAAGGCTCGTTGTGGGCTAGACACGCGAGAAAATGAACCCAATTGCATTTTCTCCGGATGTATCGCAAACCGCTGGTTTCATGTACAAACATGAATTATCACGGCCTCTGGCACGGCTCTTTCTTTCTTTCTCTTTCTTTTCACTTTTCCCAGTGTTCAGATTTAAAGAAATAGTTGTCCAGCACTTGGCGGGTCTCCGTATTCCGTGTCAAACGGAACCCCGACTGAAACAAATAAATTTAATCGCGTGAACTTCCTTCGTTGTGTGCCGGCAGTTACTCACATAGTATAATCGGAAAATACTCGTTCGAATAATATATCATGCGGTCTCTCGTTTCATGCAATTTCGTATTGTTTTTTCTCGAATAGAAATCATTGATTCGAATAGAAATGTTTTACTTAAGTATTCCTTTTATAATGACGATAAGCAGTTATTATTTTATTGCCATTTTATTCTTATAAATTATTTTGATTAATTATTTTACACCATTTATAGTCTTCCATTTTTTTTCTATCCAGTGTGATACATTTCTATTTATATGTTGAAATAAATTCTTATTTTTTATTTTAGATTGCATGTTATCAATCAAATAATTTTTTACGATATAATGGAAAATATCATTTAAAATTTATTTTGTATTTATTTTATTTAAATATTTTATATTTAATATCTCTAAACATTTTCATTAAAATATTATTTATTGTATTTATTTTAAATTGTATCAATTCGTTTGATAGTTTGTTCGTGTGGCGGCTACCGCCAGACCCGCCAACAGATGGCTCCTCTTTCTGCAACTAACCGATCTGCCTCAATTTGTATACAGGGTGTCTCAGTAACTCTGTTACAAAGTGATTTCTCCATTATCGTTAATGATACGCGGAAATACTTAACACACAAATTGTTTGGTTCGAAGGGACACATATTATGGTGGAAATCATTTTTTGTAAAGGTCATATGTTTTGAGATTTCAAGGTCATCGATGTTTTTTTCAAATGGGATTACATATTTCTATCATTATATCATCCCAACGTCTAAGGCAAGGGTCCGCTAGGATAGCCTTACTGATGAGTCCTTTAGCGGGTCCCGAACGACCAAGCCAGCAACTGCCAAACTCCGCAACGAACACAACAAGGCAGCCTTCTGACAATTGCAGCGCTACCTGGAGATGACACGGCAACCGAAAGACATACAACGGGTACGGATCAACGTCAGGAGGATTTAAATAGGCTGAGACTACGTAATCCCTCTCCTAGTGTGGCCATCGCCGTCGATCTGCGGAGACGCTTGGTACCCTGGATTTTCGCGAGATCCTGGATCTACGATGATGTCTACAGATCGGCGGACATCACGAGGACAACGCGTCACTTTACAAATAGGCCATGCTAGAACTGCAGCATCTACGGCTCGATTCTGGTAAAAAGGCGACTCATTGCCTCGCCATGACGACTGCACCAACGAAAAAAAAATAACGAGCGAACTTAAAACCGTCTGAGCAACGCGCTCACGACAACGAAAACGCGTGTCAAGTCGACTAGAGCAACGAAGGCTACTCCTTATGACTGCGTCGATGTCTATAAGACCCAGCGAAAAAAAACGAACGAGCGGCATCCGATAAAAAAGATCCGGCAGCTCCAATAGAAGTGCAGCACATCGTCGTCGAGTGGGCCAACGCATCCGGGCATCCTCCCGGAATCTAACATCAAGCATGGAAAGGACCATCTAGATATCGTTATCCATTGGCAGGAGAGTATGATCTGCCTCAATTTGTATATATACAGGCTTCGTCCTTCCAAATAACATCCAAACGTCGAAGGCAAGAGCCCGCTAGGATAGCATTACTGAAACATCTCCCCCTCTCCTTTTCGCCAAAGTTGATCTATCAAATGGATTATATTTAAAATTTTTCACGTTGTAGATTACAAACCAAAAGATTGTGTAGCGATTCGTTTCTTTATAGAATGATTTATTCATAGAATCTTTTATTATTTAGCTATCAAATACATTTAAAAATTTTCGAACAATGAGACCATCTACATATAAATCATATGTGACAAGATATGACTGCGACAAGGAACTAAATTGGAGATAAAGTAATTGAGCATGAACGAAGTAAAATGAAATAATTATGATAATATTGCACGTAACGTTATTTAGAACAATTATATCGTCTAATAAAGAAATTTGAATCCGACCCCCCAACCTCTGTGGCCTTACAATCTATCCTTTCCAACGAAACCCCACCGTCCTCCCCAACGTCAGATACACCTACTTATAAACATTAAACTCAACCTTCCAACCGCCGTGTCTCTCCAAATCATACAATGGAACCGACTCGAATTCCTTTAACGGCTAATTTATGAAGATCAACCACAAGTAATGTGCCTACAGGAAACGTATTTCTTCTATAAATATCATTATATCATCATAATATCATAATATCAATTCTATTTCTTTCTATAAATATCAAAGCTCAAGCAGAATTAAAAATTACAAATCCTATTTCAAATCTGCAATACCAACCACGCAAGCGGAGGAATAGCAACTTTCGTTAGTAATAACATTCACAGTGAACATCACAACTAACATTGAGGCCATTGTCACTAAAATTATATGCCCGCATACATACAGTGACTCGCATTAATATTCGGACACTATATTATTAAAAAAATTATTACTCCTTTTTACTGTTTATGATAGTATTATTGAATCAATTGTTTTCTCATATAATAAAGCATTTCTTAAAGTAAGTAGAAACATAAATTTTGTTTATTTATTACTCATGTTCTTTTGTATAATAAGCGATAAACAAGATTGTGACAAAATTTAACGTCGCAAAAATATTTGGACACAAGATCTTAAATGCCAGAGTAAAATACTATACTACATTGACGACGCCGCTAATACACATTCTTTATAAACGAATTTTATAAACAAATAAAAATTCGTTGTGGGAACTCGGTACCACAGGAATTATTGGTGATATCAGACGCTTTACTTGTGAAAATGGGACGAAAAGAAGAAATACGTCTTTTGAAATTCGACAATTAGTTATTTATCACAAGGAAAAGGGAAAATCATACAGAGATATAATCAATTATTAGATATAAGCAAGAGTAGTGTGGCACTCCCCCTCGTGTCCGCTACCTTGTCGTGGTGGGGGGGGGGGGGGGCTTTGT